TACTACCCAAAGAAATCTACAGATTCAATGCAATCCCTACCAAAATTTCAATAGCATATTTCATAGAACTAGAACAAATAATCCTAGAATTTGTACAGAACCACAGAAGATCGAGAATAGCCAAAGCAATCTTGAGAAAGAACAAAGCTGGGGGTATCACACTCCTAATTTTAAACTATACTACAAAGCTATAATAATCAAAACGTATGGTCCTAGCTGGTTTGGCTCAGTGGTTAGAGTGTCAGCATTCAGACTGAAGTATCTGGGTTCAATTCTGGTCAAGGGCATATACCTTAGTTGCAGGCTTGAACCCCAGCCCCAGTCAGGGCATGTGTGGGAGGGAACCAATTGATGTGTGTGTCTCTCACACTGACATTTCTCATTCTCTCTCTCTCTCTCCCTTCTACTCTCTTGGAAAAGCAATGGGAAAAATATCATCAGGTAAGCATTTAAAAACACACACACACACCAAAAAAACCTAGTATGGTATTAAAACCAAAACAGACCAATGAAACAGAATTGAGAGCCCAGAAATAAACCCATATATACATGGACAATTACCAAATGGTAAAAGAGCCAAGAACATACAATGGAGAAAGGGCAATCTTGTCAATAAATGGTGTTGGGAAAACTGGATAGCCAAATGCAAAAAAATGAAACTAGACCACTATCTTAAATCATACACAAACATTAACTCAAAATGGATTAAAGACTAAAATGTAAGACCTGAAACCTAAAATTCCTCGAAGAAAACATAGGTAGAAAGCTCCCTGACATCAGTCTTAGTGATGTGTTTGTGGATCTGGCTCCAAAAGCAAGGAAAACAAAAGCAAAAATAAACAAATGGGACTACAAAAAACAAAAGCTTCTGCAGAGCAATGGAAACCATCATCAAAATGAAAAGGCAACCTAATGAATGAAGATATTTGCAAATCATATATCCAGTAAAGTGTTAAAATCCAAAATATAAAAGAACTCATACAACTCAACAACCTGATTTAAAAAGTGAGCAGAGAATCTAAATAAATATTTTTCCAAAGAAGACATACAGATGGCCAATAGGCACATGAAAAGGTGTTTAACATCACTAATTATTAGGGAAATGCAAACCAAAACCACAATGAGATATGACCTCACACTTGCTAGAATGGCTATTATAAAAAAGAAAAGACATAGCCAGTGTTGGAGAGGATGTGGAGAAAGGGGAACCCTTGTACACTGTCGGTGGAATTGTAAATTGGTGCAGCCACTATGGAAAACAATATGGAGATTCCTAAAATAATTAAGAATATAAAACTACCATATGATCCAGCTATTCCATTTCTGGGTATTTATCCAAAGAATACAAAAACACTAATTAAAAAAGAAATATGTGCCCTATGTTCACTGTAGCATTATTTTCAATAGCTAAGATATGGATACAACCTAAGTGCCCACTGATGGATGAATGAATAAAGAATGTGGTTCATATACACAGCAGAATATTATTCAGCCATAAAAAGAATAAAATATTTCCATTTACAACAACGTGGGTGGGCCTTGAGGGTATAATGCTAAGTGAAATAAGTCAGAAAGAGAAAGACAAATACCATATGGTTTCGCTCACATGTAGAATCTTAAAAAAAAAAAAAAAGTACAGTGTGAAAAGGGAGACAAAAAAGAGTAGCGAAACCAAACACTACTTTGACCACGTGACCAAGGTTAACATCAACAATCATAAACCATGTAGAAAGTATGTACTCTTGCTATGATGTGATAAAAGTGACACTTTATCTTTGTTTATCTTCCTCTCAAAAGTCCATAATCCAGTTGAATCCTCAGGCAAATTCCAATAGAGGGGCATCCTACAACAGGCCTGACCAGTACACCTCAAAACTGTCAAAGTTATCAAACAGAGAAAATCTGAGAAATCATCACAGCCAGAGCAGCATAAGGGGACATGACAACTAAATGTAACATGGTATCCTAGAAGTGATCCTGGAACAGAAAAAAAGACATTAGGTAAAAACTAAGGCTATCTGAATAAACTATGGAATTTAGTGAATAATGCATCGATATTGGTTCTTTAATTACAACAAAAGCAGCATACTAATATAAGATATTAATAACAGGGAAAACTGGAGAGAAGCATTAGATATGAAGAAATACATAAAACAAAAAGATACAAAGAAAAATTTCCTGACCATTACAGTATTCGCCCAACAGAACAGACTGCTTTACAAAGTGACTGATCTCCAGGAGTAGCAGCGTATAAAGGAGGAGCTGTGAACTAGAAGGCTGGACAAAATCTCCACAGCTCGCTTCTCTTTCATAGGTGAAATGACTTAACATTCAGAAGCAAGATCTGAAGTATTATTAAGTATTGAAATGCTTCCAAATTAAAGAACTGACATCTAAAACTATCTAGATAATTAGTTTGAATACTATTCTGAGTCTGGAAAAAAACTACATAAGGTAATATATAAGGTACCTCTCTGATCAAAATATCTGGTTAACAGCCATTCCCCGTGTTTTAATGGCATGATGTGGTACAGTGATGCTCAATGGAGCATGGATGGAATTAACCAAAGTTTCTTGGCTGAGGGAGAAATACAATCATGGCAGGTAACAAGGTTAAGCGATGGACAGCAAAAAGTGACTATAAGAAAATAATAGGCCCACCCAGCATGGCTCAGTGGTTGAGCATCAACCTAGGATCCAGGAGATTGCAGTTCAATTCCCGGTCAGGGCACATGCCTGGGTTGTGGGCTCAGTCCCCAGGGGGGTGGCGTGCAAGAGGCAGCTGATCAATGACTCTCTTTCATCATTGATGTTTCTGTCTCTCTTCCCTTCTCCCTTCCTCTCTCTGAAATTAATAAAAAATATTTTTTAAAAAAGAAAAGAATAGTTAGAAAGGCAAGAAGGTATCTAAAATAACCCCAAAGGATCATTCATCACAGTGACCACTGTGTCTGTGGCAAAATTCCCCATGCCACAATGTAAAACCACCCTTCTAGCTTTCAGAGTTCAAATACTAGAGCTAGGTGAACTAAACTGAAGGCCCCCTGACACAGGGTGAATCCACCTGCTTCAAGGATCCTACGTAAGCGAGCAAGGCAGTACGGGAGAATAATGGGTACATGTTTCAGGGTCGGTGCTGTGTGGTAAAACCGCAGGCGTGCTGCAGCCCTGCCTTGATTAGCCATGCATCTCAGGCAAGTTTCTTTTCTTTTTTTTAAATATGTTTTTATTGATTTCAGAGCATGAAAATAAATAATGATAATTAAGAATTATAATCCCTTCAATAAAGTAAGAACCCAGGACTCCACAGTGATATAAACAACTGATTAAGTAAATGAGGTGGGGTGGGGCAGAAAGCTCTTCCTTACTGTACAAAAGAACTAATGCAGGTAAGAGGAATGCTGGGATAAAAAAAAATCACCATTTACCAGCCATCATCACAATAACTGATTCAGGCAAGAATCATTAAAGAATGCTAACCTACAGGACAAAATTTTGAAAAATAACAGAACATTCACATACGTAGTCTCAGAATATACCACCACAACTTAACTTTAAAATGTACAGAGCAGAAACCTGGCAGGCACCAAACTGAGGGACATTCTATAGAGTAACTGGCCTGTACCATTCGAACTTGCCAATATGATGAAATACCATAAACGGCTGCAGATTAAAGAAATCAATGTCAGGTTAAAGGGATTGAATGTAACATCACCGTGGACTTTTCTTTTGTTACAGATTTTATTGGAACAATTAAAATCTCAGTAAGATCTGTAAATTATGCAAGAGCATTTTTTCAACGTTAAGTTCCTGATTTTCATCACTGTACTGTCATTATGCAAGAGAATTCCTTGTTTTTAGGAAATAAACACTGATATGTTTAGAGACAAAAGGCAACATACTTGTAAGTGATTCAGAAAGAAAAAATGGGAGGGGTGGTAAGGAGAGTAAGAGAAAACCAGAAGAAAAAAGGAGGGGAAGAAACAGATGCAGTGACACGCTGGCACTTGGAAGCCTGTGTGAAGAGCGCTCAGGAATCCTGTCCTCTTCTTACAGCATTTCCATGTCTGAAATTACGCCAAAGTAGAAAAAAGCTGGATATAAAGTGATCCATCTGTCAAAACTACTGATTGAACAGCACGCTAAGATCTGTACATTACGCCACCTACAAATTACACTTCAGTTAAAATAATTAAAGCTTATTCTAGATGTTTTATCAAATATTGATGATTGGAACACTTCAACAATTAAAAACAGAAGTTAGAAACCCATCAAGGACCTATTGAAATAGAGACTAACTTCATGCCCATTGCTTTGGAGCTTGCGTTTCTGTGATCGCAGTGACCAACTCTCATCTCATAGCCTCCTGGCTGTAGAAACAGGCCTGCCGCCTTCCTGCCACGCTCCCGGGAGGCCTTTGTGCTCTCAGCCAGGTAACACAATGAGCTATACTACACTCCCTTATTAATCAACCTCCAGATGCATAAGCCTGTTACAAGCAAACCTAGACCTTAAATCTTTTTAATTTAAAGAGAGAGAGAGAAGCCACATATGATGGTAATACTCCCTGAAAAGGGTACACATTGCTAATGAGCCCTGGGGTGACGCCTCTGCTCCTGTTCAAGGCCCAGAACAGGCCAGCCTGTCCAGCACCAGCCTTACCACCTACATTAATACCTTTCGAAGTATTTTTTAAAAGATTACTAGCAGTGCCCAGCCGTTGTGGCTCAGTGGTTAAGCATCAACCCATGAACCTGGAGGTCACAGTTAAATTCTAGTCAGGGCGCAAGCCCGGGTTTGGGGCTCCACCCCCAGTATGGGGTGTGCAGGAGGCAGCCGATCAATGACTCTCTCATCACTGATGTTTCTCTCTCTCCCTCTCCCTTCCTCTCTCTGAAATCAATAAAAACATTTTTTTTAAAAAAAGATTACTAGCAGTGTAATAGTCAACTATTTTTTTCAAAGTACTAATAAAACAAAATGAGTAAGATGTCTCATACCTTGCTTCAGAAATACTATAAATTCCTTTACAGTTTGGTCCAAATTAACTCCATGATATACCACAGGTTTGAAATTTCGATGCTCAAAGGAACGAATGAGGCGAACTGTGATGGTCACTTCTTTGGAAGCCATGGGAAGAAATTCCTGTGGCAAGGGACACGAGAATAACATCAGCTCACAATTATGGCTTGCATTTCTGCCATCAGCTCTCTGGCACCCAGACACTCCCAAACGGTCTGGCAGAGGCCCCAAACCAAGACTGATTTGGGGTACAAACAAGGGTCTCAAGGTTACTCCCTCCTACCCACTGTCACCTGAACAGCTTTGTCACAGTCGCTGATGTTCTGACTGGCAGAAAACTGACGGCACAGAAGATGAACACAAGTGATATGGTGAGGGGGTCATGTATGGGGACAAGTCACGGTTGCCCAAGACAGATATGTGGCATACACACAACTGCCTTGGATTTGCTATGCCAGTGGTCTCCTCACTTGGCCCTGAGATGAAGTATGTTTATATCAGAGTCAACTATCAATAGGTCATGTTCTAATTTCACAAATGCTGCCAGATTTCAGTGTTGATTTAATTATATGCCAGAGTATTAACAATCTTTCATACTGTTGCTTAATGTGAGTGTTTATTTCATCCTAAAACTATGTACTAGGGCCATGTGCCGGGTGTTAAGGTTATCTCACTTGATTCTATCACCAAATCACAAATTATTACACTCATTTTAAGGATGACAGAGCAGACTCAGAGAGATTGTACAAACTTCATAAAGTCATAAAGCTGATAAACAAAAAAGCCAGGATTCAAGCATCAGTTTAATTCCGAAGTCCGTGCTCTCTCCAATATACTACCAGAAAATCACCCTCAACTATTTTCTCAAAAAAATCTGCAAAGATGCCAATGCTTTAAGATACAATTACAGTATATTTCTATCTAGTACTTCATGCTACTTTTAACTTTACATACAACTTTCAGCCATAATATACAAGTCCTAAGAAAAAATTACCTATAATACTAATAAACATAAGAAAAGATGTCCAATCTCACTAGTAAATCAGAGGAATTCAAAATAACAATGAGATATATCACTCATCAAACTGACAGAAAGTCTGACAGTACACAGTGTTGGCAAGGATACAGAACAATGAGAATTTAATCAGTGAAGGGGGGCATCCAAAGGGGTGCTACTTTAGATGATTGGCAATACTTAGTATAGCTGAAGATACACATACCTTTCAATCTAACAATTTCATTTACAGGCAGGTACCCCACAGAATCTCGCACCTAGTGCACATGGAGAACTGCAAAAGAACATTCACAGCAACATTAATTGTTAATTGCAAAACTGGAAGCAAATGTCCATCAAGAGAAGAACAGATAAGTAAATTATGGATAGTACAAGCAATACAAATGAATGGACTAGAACTATATACATCGAAATAGATGAATCTCAAAAATACTACGGTGAATGAAAAAATGCTAGTCAAAGAATCAGAGTATACCACCATTTATACAAAGTTCAAAAACATAGCTTTTATTATGTTTAAAAGATAATTAGTTGTTACCCTTGAGGCAAAAGAAGGGTTATACAATTAGAGAGGAAATATGCCCTTCGATTATTTTGGTAGCAATTTATGTCCTGAGTAGACATTAGGTATATGGATAGTATGTTATATTTTATGCCTTTTAGTGTATCTGAAATATTTCATAAAAGATAGCATCAAGTCACAATAACTTGGCCTAGAAAGTCTCTCTGAATCATAGAATGCTTATACAAATATTTTACTAGGTTTGAGAGAATATACAGCATATTACATATGGAAATTAAAGTCTAAGCTGTTTTAATACATAAAATAATTTGTAATTTAATTAGCATACTGTTTATAATTAAATGTATGGTTCCAAAGGAACTGGAAATAATATTTTCCCTCTAAAATAAGGTACAGATTCACCTTCTAATCTTGTTTAGTGAGTTTAAATTAACAAATCTTTTGATATCCCAATATTAACTACTATGCTATTTGTCATTAAATCTGGTTTACAATGCTCCCCAAAATCCTGATCCTAGAATCTACCACATAACAGCAGTTCAGCAAACATCCACAAAAGTACAATTTAAAATAGACTGATGTACTTAATAAAGAATACTTCTTGAGAAAGGATATTATAAAAGACTTCTGTATTTCAGAAGCAGTGTTAACAGGTTTGTTAAAATTATGACCACTTCTTCCCCCTCTCACCTAGCCCCCCAAACAACAGACACCCTCCAAAACACACCCATGCAGGCTTAGAAAGTCCTAGAATGCAGCCCCTGTCCCCGACGTTAAAGCTAGACAGATGTAGCTTAAATATCAACTCTACCTCTTAGCAGCAACACACACTTGGATCTCACATAGTAGGATCTCAATAAAAGTAGCTGCTTTTATTGTTAGTTTACTTGGGATAAAATAGGTTTGGGAACAAGGACAGCTCATATAAGTGGCAGATAAAGATACCAGACTCCCAGGTACAATGAAACAAATCATGTAAATGGTCTAACCGCAGAAACCAGGCAGGCTGGCACATGCATGCCTTATGAAATTGTTTTATAATTGTAGGTTTGCTTTTTTCACTTAATAAAAAGTTGCCCAAATGTTTTAAATTGTCAAGGCTTTCAATTTAAAACTCCAAATTTGCGTTAATATCTAATTGTGGCCAACACTTGTGCATCTTTATCACAAATTTGTTATAACATATACTTAGCAACTAACCAATAAGAGATATTATCAGAAGGAAAGAAAGTATTATCTAATTTACCTTAAGGATTGTGGGAAATGCTGCTTGTTAGTTGAGGGAGGCAGATATAATAAAAAGACAGCTTATAAAACGAATACTATAAAATGTGACATTTTCCTGGAAGTATGCCCTACATAAAAAAAGTGCATTTGAAGAAGGTTAGGAAGTATTCCTCAAATGAAGTGACAGAGAACTCAAAAACAATAAATTTAGTGATAAATTAATAAAAATATATTCAAGCACATAAAAAAGATTTGAAGAAATGAAATGATAGTCCTTGTTCCTAACTATGAAAGCTCAAAGTTGTAAAAGGTCAATTCTCCCTAAATTAATCTATAAATTGAATAAAATCCGAATCAAAATATAAAAGGGTAATTTGGGGAACTTGTCACAAATATTTCTAAAATCCATCTAGAAGAATACATTTTAATTTAAAAACCTTTTTCAATTACAGTTCACATTCAATATTATATTAGTTTCAGGTGTACAGCATAGTGGTTAGACATTTACATAACTTATGAAGTTATCCCCCCAATAAGTCTAGTACCCACCTGACACCATACATAGTTACTACAATATTACTGACTATATCCCTATACTGTATATTACATCCCTGTGACTATTTTTATAACTGGCAATTTATACATCTTAATCCCCTCCCTCTTTTCAAGGAAGAATACATTTGTGAACTTAGCAAAGTCATAAAAGAAAAGAGACTAGCAGTACCAGTTATTAGTACATATTATAAAGCAATAGTCAGAAATAATAGTAACACATTTAAAAAAAAGCTTGGGTGACTTTCATACATCCACAAAATCAAATAACAAAAATTGTAAAGGACAATTAAACTGTAGAAATTTAAGCTGTGATACTGAAACAGGACTAGACTGACAAACCACTGAAACAAACAGAAAACTCAAAAGTAGATGCAAGATTAAAGAATTTAGTTTAAAAGTGGCATTTCACATTGGCAGCAAAAAAGCAGTTTGTTTAACAAATGGTACCAGGAAAACTGGTCAGACATTTGGAAAAAAAGTAACACTGGATTCTTACTTCATCCCTTATACAACAAGGAACCACACACAGAACAAACATTTAAACTTAGCTGTAAAGTCACAGAGAGGCACCAGAAAAATGGGTCCATGTTTTTATAATCTCAAGGTAGGACAGGCCTTTCTAAGCAGAAGAAAACAGCAACACCAAGAAAAAGGCTGACAGGTGTAACAACATAAAAAATTTTTCTTTTCCTTTTTCTTGTTTTCATTCTTTTTCTTTTCTTTCTCTTTTGTTTTTTCTTTTCTTTTTTTCTCTTTTTTTCAGAAACCACTAGGACTGTCCCCTCCCTCACTCTCTGAAAGGAAGGGAAGGATTGTCACTGGCAAGAGCAGCTGCAGCAGCAGCACCAAAAGCAGGCTTCATGCTCAGGGGGCACACCGAGCCGCCTCCTCGTGGCAGCGGGTGCTTTACATGGTCAGAGAGACTTCTCTAGCAACAAATTACAGAAATGATCCCTGAGAGTACAGTCTTAACAACATAAAGGTGTAAGAAAAGACCAATATCCTAGGAGAAGCACGAGTAAAGGTAGTTAATATGCAACTGACTAAATTTTTAAAAAGTCAATCGTGATGATCAGCCTTACTACTAACTAAACAACTGCAAAGAGAAACAGTAAGGTATCAATTTTGCCATTAGATTTGTAAAATTTTTAAAAAATAATAATAAACTGGCCAAAGCAGTATTGCAAGGAGGTGGAGAAATATATATTTTTATATACTACTGCTAAGAACCTAAAATGGTACAGTCTTTCTGGAGGGGAGTACAGTAATCTGTATCAAAATTATAAATTATAAATTTGCCTACCCTTTGATATGATGATTTCTCTTCTACTGATTTACCCTAAGATATAATCACATCGAATGTTTTAAAAATCCATGAGTGCATAATGGTACTTTTTAAAAAGTCAGTCAGTCACTCTGCAGCCTAACGGTACTTATTTGTTTTACTGAAATTGACTTTCTAAGATGGGAGGAGGGCACTGAAGTGAGGAAAATAATGAAATATGTTCTGCTTTTCTTATATAGGCTATATTTCAAGGTTACCAAATAGTTGATGAAGAAAAGTTCTTTATAGAAGAACTGCAGCTAAAAAGCACTGAAAGAATGACAGAATTTATAAATCATGATTTCCATACCTATCAGAATGGCTAAAATTAAGCTATTTCCCTGTATACCTATATTTGCACTTTTCTAAAACTAGGCTATTTCCATTTCTTTTAAAAAGGGGTAACTGAACAAAAGAAAACAAATACAGAACTCAAATACTGTAAAGGTCAGAGAGGATTAGAAACTTATTTATACAACTAATACTGAGGAATACCAAAAAGTATTCAGCCTCGAGAGGCACCAGAAGTAGGTCACATGCCCAGAACGAGCCTAAGCTTGTCTAAGACGCACAAAGGCCTCAACACGCAGCCTCTCCCTGCCTCTCTGATGGTATGTGTCACCACCACAAGCGACCTTTCTCTTATCACTCCAGCAGCGATGACAGCCTGTAGTTTCCCACACACACCATGCTGTTTTCAGGCCTCTGCCACATCGGTCCACCCCCAGCTTTTCTCCAAACTCCTGTGCCCCTGGCCTCTCCACTTTACTATTAAGGCATCATTTGAAACTCAGCCCGGGACCATCTGCTCCAGGACACCTTTGCAGGGGCTCTCCTCCCCCACCCCCACCAGACCTGCTAAGATCCCTGTCTGCCCACAGCGCCAGATCACGCCCTAGTAAAGCCAGCTGTTTAAGGAGGAAAGTTTTCGAGCTCCTTGAGGGAAAGAGCGCTGTATGGTTTGCTTTAGTGTATCCAGCAATGCATGCTGAACGAGGCACAGCAGAGCCCCCATCAGGGTCTGGAGAACTGAAAAGCAGCCAAAGAGCTGAGGAAAACCCGATTTCCTCCCTTTCCTAAGGACACACTGACATATCTGTCCTGCACTACAGGGTCTATGAGCTTTTTCCAGGAGGTACCTTATTGCTCCAGAATATGAAATTTTTAAATTAACGTTTAATTAAATACATACACACATAACATTTCAATAGCAACTCAACTCTATTCATAAATATATATGTTAGATTTAATATAGGATATGGGTACACTGTATATCATTGAGGGGGGGATTTGAAAAGTAACAGTGCCTAGGGCCTAGAAAGGTCTTGAAACCTCCCTGCCTAAAAAACCTGTTCTGGCTGGTACCTTACCCAGCTGATTTGAGATGAAGGATAAGTCATATCCAAAGCAAAGCAACACCTATAACCAAAGAAACAAAGAAAACCATGTAAGAACCCCTCACCTGGAGCTTCCAGGTCCCTAACAGGTAACCACTGCATCACCAGAGCTGAGAATGGCGTGGACCAGCACCCTACCCTCTGGAGTGAGAATTCCCTGGTTAGCACAGGTCAGTAAGAAAGATAGGCCAGTAAGCCAGGACAAGTAGAATAGGGAAACTGAGACAGATTGTTAAACAGCAGTTTGC